ACGCAAGCTTTAACCAGAAACCAAGCACCACAGGGCTTCTCCATCTCCTTTTTCCCTCTTTTCTCGGTGTCTTTTTTCTTTTCTTTTTTGCTCATTGCAAACTGGCTGCCTCAGTTTTCTAGGCCATGTGGTACACGTCTGCCACTTGCTCCTGAGTCAAAGTCGGCCACTCAGAGGAGCACTCTCTCTCACTCACTCTCACCTTCCTTCGTGGAGTCAGCCTCACAGATGCTACCCTTGGGCTGTTCAACCAAGGTCACACCATGCAGACACATGACAGGGACTGGGGACAAGGGTGGGCTCCGGGGCATGGAAGTGAGAACAGCCAGGGAAAACTTCTTAAATGAAGAGTTGAATTAGCCAAGGGCAAGTGACAAGGAAGAGAAGGTGACAGGAACAGCTCCTCGTTCTCCCCTTTTTGTCTTTGCTTTGAAGACTGGAATCCTCCCAAGCTGCAAAGCATAAGATTGCTCTCCTTCCAGGACTAAATCCCAGCCATATTTTTATACTAAGAAAGAAAATGGAAGGATTGCCCTGATCTTATCAATTTCTGTCTCTGTGACCAATCCCTGGAACACAGAGGGGAGTCCCCAGTGGCCATGTCTATATGTCCTGGGTGATTTAGAGTTGATTGATCCAGGAGGCCAACCAGAGAACCTGGAACTAATGGGTCAAGAAGCTAATTCCTCTTTTGGCTGGTGCTATAATATGAATCTGTCCTCCCACCCTCCGCCTCAAATTCACACACTGAGCCCAGGTAACAGGATAAAGACAGTGAAAACATAACCTGATTGTGGTATTGTAAGGTGGGACCTCAGGGAAGAGATTAGTGATTGGGTGTTTAGGGTTGGGGCTCCCATGACTGACTCCTGGATGATTTATAAGGAGAGAGCTCCACAGAGATATGGACACAGACCATGGTCCACTGACCAATTTGCTCTTCAGTCACCAGAACTTTGAATTAAATAAAGCTCCAATCTTTAGTAATCATGCAGTCTCAGGCATTTTTGTAAGAATACAATAAAGACTAAGAAAGCTGGTGTGAGATGGTTGATGACTATGGGAGAAGGCAGAGTATTGAGCGGCGAGTGTCACTGGTCTGGTTATCTTGGAATCCCAGCTGCCTTCCCTCTGATGAGTTCTGTAAGTTAGTCTGGCATTTTCCGGTAAATCCCCTTGTAGGCTAAGGTAGTATGGGTAGGTTTCTGTCATCAAGACCACAAAGAGCTCTGACTAATCCAGGGTCAAGGAGGTTGCCCAATAACTATCCCCAACCTGGGCTTTTGCCTCCCACGTCAACTGTGGGAAGGGGTCCATACCTTCACTTATCATATTTCTTAGGAGAAATGAGGCCCAAAGAATGACCACAATACAGGTTTTGGAATTCTGGCTATCACTGAAATAACAGCACTTTGTTGGTGAATTACTCTTATTTTTGCTATTTAAAACATTTACAGTCTATACCATTTATATCTTGAGATCAGGATCAATGACTCAAGGATTCAATTTATGATGAAAATACTTGTGAACAAAATTCTACCTAAAGTCACAAAGGGCTTTTCATCAACTGAAATACTTTGTACAAAAATACACATGCTACTTAATGATAACATTGATCCATTTTGTTTTTGAAGTAATATTTCATTTGCATATCTTTTTTTTTTTTTTGGAGAAGTTTTTGCTATAGGGTGCATGCGCTCGCCAGAAAGACAGAGAGACAGAAAGTGAGAAATCACTCCCCAGAGTGACCACAATACAGGTTTTGGAATTCTGGCTATCACTGAAATAACAGCACTTTGTTGGTGAATTACTCTTATTTTTGCTATTTAAAACATTTACAGTCTATACCATTTATATCTTGAGATCAGGATCAATGACTCAAGGATTCAATTTATGATGAAAATACTTGTGAACAAAATTCTACCTAAAGTCACAAAGGGCTTTTCATCAACTGAAATACTTTGTACAAAAATACACATGCTACTTAATGATAACATTGATCCATTTTGTTTTTGAAGTAATATTTCATTTGCATATCTTTTTTTTTTTTTTGGAGAAGTTTTTGCTATAGGGTGCATGCGCTCGCCAGAAAGACAGAGAGACAGAAAGTGAGAAATCACTCCCCAGAGGGGACAGCCACTCCACAATCCATTCTCCTCCATTCTCCTCTCAAGATCTTGGGCACACACATGCACACGTGCCCAGCGTGAGTTTAAGCCACTGGGTCTGGGGCTCAAACTATAGTCAACTACATGAGAGTTCAGCAACATAGCCATTACACCAACTGCTGGTCCCTCATTTGCATATCTTAATGATTTTAAATAGCTTCTACATTTTAGATAGTTTATTCATTTTTGAATCAGACTTTGCAAACTTGAAATTTTGAAACAGTTATACATTTTTTTAAAAAATGATGAAAATAGTACAGAGAATTCATATATATCCCTCAGCAGTGTCTCTCTTGTTATTAATTTTTTTATTGCCAGAGAGCACATGCACTCACTAGAGTGAGTAAGAGACAGAAAGCATGACTGAGAGAGAGAGAGAAACCACCCCCAGCAGGGAATGCTCCTACTGAAATCCATCTTCCTCTAGTTCTCCTTTCTGTCAGGATGTGGGGCGTGTCCAGTATGTCTTTCAGGAGGCCAATGCCAGGTTTTGAACCACAGTTAGCTAAGTAAGATTCGGCTCCCAATGGATGGCGCTTACCTCTGTGCTGCAGGGTAGGCCCTGGTTTCCTTATTATGTGGATATGGCATATGTATCACAATTAATGAACCAACATCAATACATTATTGTTAGCTGAAGTCCATACTTAGCTCATTTTATGTAACGTCTAGTCCTGGATCCCGTCTAGAACACTGAATTACTCTTAGTTGTGACCTCTCCTTAGGTTCCCCTTATTTATGACAGTTTAAAACTATACTTTTATTAAGATTATCTACTGGGACCAGCAGTTAGTGTAATGGCTATGTCGCTGGACTCCCACGTAGTTGCCCGCGGTTCGAGTCCCGGACCTGGTGGTTTAAACTCACGCTGGGCACATGTGCGTGCGTGCCCAAGATCCCAAGAGGAGAATGGAGGAGACGGGATTGCAGCATGGCCATCCCCCCTCCGGGGTGATTTCTTGCTTTCTGTCTCTCTGTCTCTGTCTGTCTGGCAAGTGCACACGCCCTATAGCAAAAACCTCTCAAAAAAAAAAAAAAGATTATCTACTAATATGATGAGGATGATGATGTTGCTTTTTAAAAAAGAATTATTTAATTTTATTTATTATTTTAAAATTTATTATTGGATATATATGCTCACCAGAAAGAGACAGAAAAGCGAGAAAGCAAGCCCCCAGGTCCAGGACTTGAACCATGGTCGGCCATGGTTGGCACCTCAACCACCACAGCAATCACTGGCCCTGCTTTTTTTTTTTAAAGCATTATTTAATTTTATTTATTATCATTATTTTTTTTTTGAATTTGTCACAGGGCAGGCACACTCACCAAAGAAAGAGAGAGAGGAAGAGAGAAAGCAAGCCGCCAGGTCCGGTACTTGAACATCAGTCCACCATGTGGGAGTCCACCAGTTTAACCACCATGTCACCTGATGGGTCCCTGATGTTGCTATGTTTAAAGTTTCTACTTTACAAATTTACATTTTTTAATATTTAATCTTTTTTTTTTTTTTTTTTTGATGACAGTGGAGTGTGCACATGCCAGAGAGTGAGAGAAAGTACCCTCTAATGGGGCCTGGTTGTCTGCAATCCCTTTTCCTTCCTTTCTCTATCCTGATCTTGGGCATGTGTGCATGCTCTGGTATGTTGAGGACTGGGATTCAAACCATGGTTAGCCATGTGGGATCCAATTCCCTTGCAGAGCACTTAACTGCTACGTTACTGGGCTGGACCTAAATGTCTAACACTTAAGACGTGAATTGTAGGGCCAGCTCCATGTTGCAAAAGCAAGTTCTGCTCAAAAGAAGCCAGACCCTGCATGGTGACCACGGTTCAGGTCCCTGGCCCAGTCAGCCTTTAATGGGAGGCATGCGCATGAGTGCCCAGGATCCCATGGGGTGGAGGACGGAGGAAGAGGATCGCAGCATGATAAGACCCTGTGGAGGGTGCTCCTCTCTCCCTCTCTCACTCTTTCACGCTCTCATGTGCACACACATGCATTCTATCATGAATTAAAAAAAATTAAAAATGTGAATTAAGTATTATTTCACTAATGTTAATATTATGAATTCTGAACACTTATAAAATATTGGTATTGATACCAGTATTGGGGATGGTCTTAAATAAAAGCTGAATGCCCAGAACAGCAGCCACTAGGATTCAGGGGAACTGGCAGGACCTGGAGAACACGACCACACAGAGGCTAAGGCTTTGGGTGATCAGAACCTCCCAGTACTGGGGTATTGTGCACAGTGGGCAGCTTGTTCTCTGCAGCAGGAACCCCAGGCCCTGGCCATCCGGAAGAGTCCTGCAAGTGTCTTTTACCCCCAGTATCCTTATAGCACTGTGTCCTTTCTCTGTAAACAGCTGGAAGGGGTATGCTTATGTTAGCCCAAGTGGCTTTCCTAGTCTTGCACAGCCAACGTGCTGGGTGACTTTGCCGTGATGATCTGGACTCTGAGTATTGTATCCCAGAGACGTCTTATGTCTTTGTTTTCCCAACACCTTCCTCATCGCTTGGAACACAGTAGAACTCAGGCAAGCCGGTGCTATTATTGGCTCAGCCTAAGTTGAAGGAAGGAATGAAATCAGCCATATTGGCAGGAAGAAGCTGCCTTTCCTCAAAGATTAGGAGCTGATGAGGATTAGGGATTCAGGGAGAGGATGAGGACTAGTCAGTGAGGAAGATGAGCAGGGCACCCTAGCCAACAGTGTGGAGAGGGGGTGAGGAGACTGCTGAGTGGCAGCGCCAGCATGTTTAGCCACGGGAAGGAGACCTGCAGAACTGAACACCTCTGGGACTCTGAGAAGCAAGTATGTTATCAGCATCTAAAAATGATGATTACGTGTTTAATCCCAAGTATGTGGCATTACATCAGCAGCAGAGTGGAGTCTGTTTGACCTTTAAATACATTACAAACTATTGATCTTCCCAGAATTGGCCAAAGCGGTTCACAATAATCGGGCTGCATTTTGTCCATAGTTCATGGCATATTCGAAGTCTCGAAAGCTGACGTGACCATCTGAGTCTTGATCGACCTCCCTGGAAAATGAAACCAAAAATTATATTACATGTTATTTTCATCAGCACTTATCAAGAGTACATTTGAATCTTTCTTTCTTTTGCATGTCTGTGTGAGAGAGAAAAACCTATTTTATCTACTTGAAAGCTAAGACTGATGCTTATATATTTTTCTTACATTGATAATTCCTAAGGTAGGAAGGAAAAGAAGAATATGTATCAAAACCCATAGAAATAAAATACCCAACATACTTAAAGAAATAAAGCTAAATGACACAGTTTGCATGAGAAATGAAAATAAAAAAAAAAGCTCTTTTTCTATTGGTCATCAGAAAAGTCACGAGGTATTTTTCTGTTTTTCTATGCAAAAATGCATCGTGACGTTTCCGACAACCCAATAGCTGTTCTGCACTTAACCTTTCTGTGATACATGCAAAAACATATATGGATCGTGTCACCAGAAATAAGAGAAAAGAAAGTATTAGGAATAAATAAGGACTGAGCACTGACTGTCATCCTGCATAGCGCGTCTATACATTCCTGGCTCCCCGAATCTCTGCGCACGGCTGGCTGGTCCCTTCTACTGATGCAGACACTGAGCTTTGAGGAGGCTTAGCGGTTTCCTCCACTGACCTGAGCTGGCAGTCAACAGCTGTGTAGGAACCCAAACCAAGATCGTCACATTCTAATTCTCTCTACTCTCTTCCACATGGCCTCCCTGCACAAATGGGACATTCCAGAGAGAAGTGATTGTGTTGTAGTTCCCACATGGCTAACCCTAGTTCCAGACGTTTGCACGAGCTTCGGTCGCTAGCTTCAGTCAGGATCTCAGAAGCGCTGTTAAGTCCTCACATGCACCCGATAAACTTTTCTGACTCTTGGGAAGTGTGATGAAGATGTGAGTGTCTGGCTGGTGGGCTGAGGGTGTGGGTGGTCTCAGCAGGATTGTCCCTGTGTGTCTCTAGAACTACTGAGACAGAGGCATTGCTCCAAGAACGGGAAACAGAGATGGCACCCATCCCACGTGGTGAAGACAACACATGTCAGGACAAAATCACAAAATCAGCAACACATCCAAACGGTGACTGGTAAAAAGAGATGCTCATTACAAAGTGCGTCTGACAGGGTAACTGGTGAGTCGTGGTCCCGAGTCCTCTTTTGGGGAGGGGGCAATCTAAAACAGCGCAATACCTGCCTTTTACATAGCTTCTACAGTTGGTGCAAATTATATTTTGTCGAAACAACAAATGGTATCGACCATGACATAGAGCTTTTAAAAGCAAAGGCCGGCCTGAGCAAGAGAACCACTAATCACTGTAATAGTTTTAAAGCAGGCTTTTAAAATATTGAATTCTAAAATAAACTTTCTGAATATTTCATGCCAAAGTCTCAGAAGTCTATAATGGTTCTGGATAGAGTGATGATCATTTTTCATTCTTTTGAAGTGGAGAAAAATCCCTACTTCTCTGCCCCAGGGCAAAACCATGTTGCAGTGTGTTAGTATAAAATGACTACAGACTGCAGAGGCCATTATTCTTGCTACTTCTTTTGGTAAAATATACATGATTTCATGCTATAAAGGACCAAAAGCGTAATGTCAGATCTCTTCTAAGGGATTAGAAATAATCAGCATCACATGCTCCTGACTACAGACTATAAATCACTCTTTTTATTAAATTAGATAATTGAAGATTCTTAATATTGCCTAAGTATTTTTTTTCCCAAGGAATTGGATTAGATAAGTGGTCTTTTCTTCTTTTCACTCTGAACTGGTATGGTTGAACTATAAATCTTAGAGGGTGAGTTAAATGGATAACTTAGAAAAATGATGTTCAGAATAAACTACTTCTGATAACACTGTCGTTTGTGTGTGTTTATTCACTTACTGAGACACTGAATGCTTGCACAGAAGGAAATCTGTTTGCCAGGTTTTCTCAGTCAATAACTGTCATTATGATCGTGTTAGCTTCTCATGTTTCTTACCGCCTTTGCCAAAGTTGCCCATCGTAAAATGGGCACAGTATAACCAAGAAGTGCTAAAGGGGGAAAGTTTATTTGTAAGGTTTGGAGTGGCCTTTTATGTACATGACGAACAAAGGGGTACCATTTTTACATGTAGGAGAGACCTGGTAAAATACCAATGTCTCTGACTTTTCTTCTGCAGCACGTGTATACAAGCAGAGCCAGTCACCTCCAGGAGAGTAAAGAGGAAATTCAAGTTTCGGGGCTATAATTCTACAAGTTAAAATATACTGTTTCTCACTGCAGACAGATCACTCTGAAGAAGGAAGATTTCACAGCACCCACTCTCAAGTCACTGTGTGACAGAAGAACAGATGTGGCTGGTGGGAAGAGCTGGTCATGTGCCGAGGAGATGAGGGAAACAGCATTAGGTCAAAGGAAAGCTTTGTACAATGCTGGGCTGGGTCCATTTTACTGATAGACACTGACGTTTTGTTGATTGGTTTCATTTTAATTTTTGCTATAGTGCACGTATGTTCACCAGAGAGAAACAGAAAGAGAGGGGAAAGTGAGAACTTGCCCCGTGGGGTGCTGGCCACCTCACAATCCCTTCTCCATTATCCTCTCAGGATTTGGAGCATGTACACACATGTGCCCAGCATGATTTCAAGCCATCAGATCCGGAACTTGAACCATGCAGCCATGCAACCATGATCCAGCACCTTAACCTCCACCCCACCTGCTGGCCCAGGACACTGAACTTTAAGGAGGGTCGGCAGTTTTCTCACTGTTAACCCTCACAAACACCCAAATACACTTTTCTGACAACTCTTGTGGCAGTGCCTTGCGGCTCTGAATCTATTATAAAATGTGATGTCTCAGTGTCATCCCCACACATTCTCAAATATTCTACCTCCCTTCACCCCAACTGGGAAGAAACTCTAGAGACAAGAACCTTCTTGTTTGCCTCTGTGTCCCCACCTCTCAGCCCATAGCAGGTGAAGAACATCTGTTGAGTGAATGAATTTGTGAAATAAACAAATCTGACGATATTATGGAAAATCTGTTACTTCCTAGGAGGTCCTGGGGGACTAAAGAGAGAGACTATATTATCACTGTCCTTACAGAGTCTTAAAAACTGACTAGAGGGACCAGCAGTTGGCATAATGGCTATGACACTAAAATCCCATGTAGTCAATCGCGACTTGAGTCTTGGACCCAGTGGCTTAAACTCATGCCCAGTGTGTGTGTGTGCGTGCCCAAGATCCTGAGAGGAGAATGGAGGAGAAGGGATTGTGGTGTGGCCATCCCCCCCCTGGGGGGTGGTTTCATGCTGTCTCTGTCTCTGGTGAGCACATGTGCCCTGTAGCAAAAACCTCTTAAAAAACTCCCCAAAACAATGAACAAACAAACAAACAAACGGGCCAGAGAAATAAAATGTATAGAAGAAGCCACTTCAGAACCACCTGGAAGCTCTGGATCCATATTAAGTCAATTACAGTCTCTACGCTCATCCATATTCTCCAAACACAGACTAGGTATGGGAGAGACCTCTGGAGAGGCAAACTTTGAAATACGAGACTCTTAAGTGGGGCCATAGCAGTAAGGAATCCTTTGAATGTCGAGCTGAGCTGAGCTGAGCTGAGCTGAGCTGAGCTGAGCTGAGCTGAGCTGAGCTGAGCTGAGTGGTTTAGCGATAAAAAGCAGGAAAGAGTGAACCAAAGCAGAACACTAGAGATGTCTGACTTCAACTTACCCTGTAGTCACAGGGCAGTTAAGTAGACACACGAGTATAGATACACATGCATACACAAACTTCTATTTCAGAGCTGGCTTCTCAAAGGAACGAATAGTTACACAGGTGTCCAAGAGTGAAATAAATCACTATTAACAGTAATAATGCTATTTAGACCTGGTGCTTAGAAATGCGGGTCTTGTTAAATACAAGGCTTTTTGGGATGTGTTTGCGTTTTGAGATGCCAAGGGGAGACCTGGAATTGATTCTGGGGAGAGGGACCTGAGAGAGCTGAAGTACTCTGTACAACAGTATGAACAATTTAGGACCATCTGGAAGGAAGGGATGACAGGCAAGAGAAGAAAGGGTACAGGGAACAGGCGCCGCTCTGTGAGAGGTGCCATGGAAGTCCCCAGCGCTGCAGTGATCAAAAGTCCTCTGATTAACTGCTACATTTACCATGTGCTTCACTGTTTGTACAGCTTGTTACGTCCCCTTCCTGATCTTCACTCAGGAGTGCCCTGGGAATGCAGCGGGGAGGCTGGTGAGTTTGGGGGCATCCATGCTAAGGGCTGAGGATAGAGTTGGGAGATGAGTTCTGTCTGAGTGCGCACAGTCAAAGACCAGTAAAGCAAGTGGGGACTGGTTAGATGATTCAGAGACTGAATTAATTCAGAGAAAGGAGAACCAGTGCCAGAATGTGTGAGGATCTTGGAAAGTGCTTCGTAATCCCACAGTGTGTGTATGTGGTGGGGAATCCAGGCAATACTCTCTGGACCTGGAAGTGCATGAAGACCTGGGTTGACACTGGGATACACTGAGAATTTTCAGTGGGACTAGAATCAGTCCTTTCAGTTGAATTCTGACAGTTTTCTTATCTGTTAAGGTACACCATTTTCTGATTCATCATGTTAAAAATGGGTATAATTGCTTTCATAAGCATGAACCCTAACACTGTTCTCTTTTATGTCTTGATTTGTTAAGCAAGATTTGTTCTCTGCTTTCAGTGATGCTATAGGAGCCCGGGCTAGATGCTTCCCTGAAATCGACAGGGTGTTCTGTTTTGAGTTTTATTTATGTCCTCCACAACTGAGAGAGACAGCACCCTAACAGGGTCTCAATCTGTGATCCCTGCCCAGCCTCAGCCAACCTGGATGGAAGGTATGATCATGCTTGGTGAGCGCAGGGAGGTCTCTGAACATGAACCCAGCTAGAACCTTCCCATGTGAGTCAGCCTCTCAGTGTGCTTGTTGTTTTACCACTGTGCCACCATCCAGCCCCATATATTTTTCTTAATTTGAAAAATATGTAAATAGTGAGTGTT